GATTGAGGCTGCGTACAAGCTGGGACCAACCATCTACACTAAGTTGCGTAAGCAGCGAGGCGTAGCGAGTAGGGACAAAATGGTAGGCCAGGAGATATCCGGTAGGTTGACGTCACCCAGCGTGAATTTATACGATTGAGAAAGGGTGGAAATAATACGGGGCAGGTCAGTTATGGGAGCGGGGGGAGCGGTGGTAGATAGGCATAGCCTACTAGTACGCGTCGACTGGTCTGCTCTATGAAGATCTATATAGCTTCTGGAATCCCTTCTAGTCTGGAAACAACAATAGGGGTTGCATAAAGCTCCGATTTGGAGTAGATGGCACGGCCTCCACCACTTGAATCTCTCCTGTTGGAGCGGTGAATAATATAACCAGGGCTTGAGACTACCGTGTCTGGGGTTTTAACTGAGAGCCATGTTTCGGTCACACAAATCAGTTGGTTGCGCAACGGCGAAAATCGCAAGGAGAGTACGGACATTTTGTAGCAGTGGGTGAGCGTTAAACAGCATCAATGGTAGGTCTATTGGGGGGGCACACCATACTGATTAGGAAGTTAGTAACTTCGTTTACGGTGGAGTTCGGTGGAAATTGGTAGGGAGGTAAGGGCACGTGAAGGAGAGTTGATTAGGCAAGTGTTCGGAATAGGTCGAGGCGTATTCACCACTGTGGATACAGGGGTGAGTGATGGCTGAGTTAGGCTTGAATCCATGGCAGAAGGCAGAGCATAAGGTTGATTATGGGGTAGGGTATATCTGTTGAAGGCTGGTGCGCAGTTGGAAGAGTTTGGGGGTTTGGAGAAGATTGGGGGCATGAAGTCATTCGCGTCGGCTGGAGGTGTGGAGAGTGATATGGTGCAGAAAGTGGCGGTGGTTGTTGGGAGATAGGTCGCGTCCGAAAATGGTCTATATTTGGGGCAGAATTGGGTCAGCAGGATGGTGGTGACACATAAGGCCTTGAGTTGGCTGCCGGTATGTGCGAATGTGGGGTTTCACCGAGTTCGCGGAACGTGTGGTTTGGTGTATTTGTCATGTACTATAGGGAAACCGGAGCAAAGTCCAGTTATCTTGATAAGAACCAGGGACAGATTCTCGAAGGTGTAGTGGAGGGTATCTAAAACATCGCGGCCTTGACAATAAATATTTGACTCCGAGGGCGTATTCTGGCGGAGTTTTAGCGCGGAGAGACAGCAGGTAAGGGGGTCTATGACAAAAACGAGTGCTGCAAAAGTCTGGTAGGCTCACTGCTCTGGCTGGGAGACGTGGCCCGTCAGTCATTTCAGTACCGGGAGAGAGTTCCACTGGAGTGGTGGGGGTATGTGCAGGTTTCACGGACGGTGGAGCAGGAAATCCATGTATATGAGCCCAGTGCTTGGTGCAATCACAGAGCCATGAGCGCATAAGGGGTGCCGATGTACGTACTGGTAGTTGATTGTTCAACATGTTTGGGTATGACAGTATGTGGAGGGTCATGTTTTCGGAGGTGCAGTTTATGGTGCGTTATGTATCGCGGCCTTAACAATAAATGCTCGAGCCCGATGGCGTATTTTGGGGAGGTGGAACACCAAGAGACAACAGGTCATATGGCCTATGACGAGAACGTGTGCTATCAGCAACTGGTGTAGTCATTGTTCTGGCTGGGAGACGTACCGCATCAGTCGTTCCAACACTGGGAGGGAGTTCTACTGGGCTGATGGGGCCGTCTGCAGTTTTCACGGATGGTGAAGCAGAAAGTCCATTTGCAGGAACAATGGAGGACTCGGGGCTTGGAATGCAACGAAGCCAGGCACTACTGAATAGTTTGGTGTAGGTTCAGTGCTTGGAGTAATCACAGAGCACTCAGAGCTTAGGGTACCTTGGGAGCGTCAAAGCAAATACTGGCGGTTGGTTGGGCAAAAGGTTGAGGTAGATTTTTTGTAAGCTGTCTTTGCATTCAAGTACGGGAAACTTTGATTTTTATGGTTTGGAATTTTTGGTGGAGGAGAGAAGAGTCTGGGATGTCAGCAGACGCATGGCATCCTTTTCATCCCGGAATTGCATTATTATTGAGCGACACGTAGATGGTTTCAGCTTTCGGAGCCGCCGAGCTATGCACATGGCATTCAGCACGCCGCATGCATTTAGGATAGCAGTTTTGGAATGCTCAAGTGGAATTCGATCAGGTGCGTTGAATATTGGGACCTGATGCCGACATCCAATGCGCTGACATATCTCTGACGCAATCTTGTCAATTAGGATAGACGCTTTTTCTAAGCTGATAGGATTGCATGCTTCATCAAGATTGAGGAGACACGCAGTCGACTGTATTGATCGCAGGGAAGACATTCATTTTCCATCTTGTGTGAACATGTTCTGAGATTTTCCAAGTCTTTCAGGACCTGAAATACTCCTGGTGGATGTGAGAGAAGAGTGTTGTGAGGTTGCGGAGGCAAGGATGTCGGTTAGAACTACTGAACAATCCGAGATTGCCTGCGGTACCGTCTTTGCCGGCCTCGATAAGTGAGGCGGTTGGGAGCTGGGTCTTCTCACTTCGAGCAGCCTCTTTATTGAGGGATAGGTTATGGGGAGAAAGATGATGGGGATTCGGGGTCTGGCAACCGCTTAGGGGAGGAAGACGGTAGCGGTGTCATACTTAGGAGCAGGTTGCGGAATAGCTGAGTTGGGATTGTCGCCATTTTGACATCAATGGACTTCTACTTTGAAGAGTGTAGGATGCAAGCAGTCGGGGCCACGTGCTTCCTTGCACTGAAGTGGTGCACTTGCACGCTGCAATTCCTTTGTCTGTTGGGGCCTGCCGAACTGTTTTTTAAAACGTTCAGTCTATCATTCAAAACAGCGTTCCTGTTGGCGACCTGAAATCCCATCCTTCTGGGAGAGATAGTTTCGCTAGCACCTGGATCAGACCGGGTAAACAGGGTGCAGTTGATTTTCGCTTGAGCAGCTGCCCCCATTTTCTGACATCTGTGATCCACCGGCGCTCTCCGTTAATCCTGGGTCTATTCCTTACGCATTGCACGGAGGATAGTCACCCAAAATTATATTCGCTTGCCGCCGATATATTCTTCATATCTGCAGTCAGGGCTGTTAATCGAAATCGGTTTCGTTTTACCCTCATGCAAATTTGTGAAAGAATTTTTCATAGTTCAATCTATTCACAGAGTAAACACGGGTAGTTGTTGAATTTTATTACTACAACAAAACATTCGTGAGATACCCATGATATTTTGCGCACACTTCCTATTTTGCATCTAGTCCTAAATATGACATCAAGCTATACCGATTGCCCTCTGCAGCCATTGATAAACCACACCAGATGTGAGCGAAATAGCTGCCCGTCCAACGTCAAACGCGGTATGCAGTGCCACACCCGAAAGGCCTGGCGGCACTTCAACTGCACGAGTTTAATGGACGACCAGGTAAGATGACTAGCTAGCTCTCCTGACCCGTTCGTCTGCCCCAGGCTTCCGCTGGGCACCAAACCAGACGACCCCAAACTCATGAACAAGCCGATTATGGTCATATCCCCCTGTGCTCGTGAAAACAGGCCGACGAAACCAGCTGCGTCTCAGGACAGCAGTTTCTATTCGACCACCACAGGCCTCTCGCCCACCAAAGGCAGGGACGCCCTGGAGGAGGCAAACCTCACATGCAAGCAGCGCCCAAATTACGTGGAGCTATCAACGCTTATCTCTGTAAGAGACAACGCAGGCACTGTCATGCACTCCTCAACAAAGCCACAGCTTCTGAACTGTACTGAGTCAGATGTACGAGGACAAGCAGCGAAGTTAGTCTCCATCTCTACCCTGTCAAAAGCGGTCTCTCTGCTTGTGGACACAACCGTCGCCCAGGACCCCGACAGCCGAAGCCATATACATGACTACAGTCATCCGGATACTCCCTCGTACATCCAGTTCGCCACGCTGATCGCCAAGGAGCGGGTGTCCACGCACACACGAAAGAAGAGCGACTGCAGCCAAACAAGCCACGTAAGATTCGCCAGATTGGAAAACTGCTGGCTTCCAGGTGCAGTCCTCGACGAAAACGAGCTTCTTGGGAGCGCCACCAGAAGTATCACTTTTTGGTAGGGCCACCCAGCACCCAGGGACTCACTGACACACTTTTCCGGTCAAACCGCGTCAAAACACCCAAGAATCCAGGAAGGCAAATGCTTGCCGCAAATCTTTGATCAACAGCAAATCTAGTCACCACAAATGCGGCGCTGAAAGAGTTACAAGCAGCAACGGTCGAAATTTTCGCCCACGGGGAACAACTCCGTCCCCCAAAGCAGGAAGGCTGATGCGATATTGGTCCCAAAAAAACAGCACGCACTCGGATGAACTGGAGGCTGCTAAAAAGGATTCGGCGACTTCTGGAAAAAAGGTCCCAACTCTTTTTCAAAAAGGTAACCGCAAGGGATGCGCTGGCATTTCCTAAAATGCGGAACCGCTGTAAGTCAAAAATCCGCCAGTGGAACATACGAAAACAAGCCAACATCCTGGACCTCGCTCGAAAAAACAAAAACGTATTGTTCAAATACATGAGACATCACCGCAGAAAGAAGCCATTCGCGTTCTCCATGAGGGACAGGAACGGAAGACCGACGAATGACACAGCAGTGGTATCTGAGGTTTACAGAGAACACTATGCGTGTCTATACTCAGCCCCAGTGTCTTCGTCACATCCACTCTTGTCAAGGCGAAACTACGAACTGCCTCTAACCGACTTGGTCTTCACGGTGGGGGACATCCGTCAACTCTTACGAAAGATCAACCTATTCTGTGCGTTGGGGCCCGACGAGGTCCATCCAAGGATCCTGAGGAAAATATCGTCCACACTCTCAAATAATTTACACCTCGTGTTTCGTCATTCGCGCGACGAAATCGATCTCAAAAGCATTTGGTAGGGTCCAACACGTCCTGCTGCCCCACAAACCCGAGTGTTACGAGATTCCAGGGAAAATCCTTCGCCTGATCAAGGCGTTCCTATCAGACAGATCATTCCGAATGAGAAGAGGCTCGACCTACTCTGTTCCAGCGCCGGTCTCCATTGGGGTTCCGCAGGGTTCCGTCTTGGCACCACTCCCGTTTCTGATCTACGTCAACGACCTCCCAGACATTCTTGCGAGTCCATGTATACTTTTTGCGGACGACTTGAAATCCTGGAGTTCCAATGCCAGTGCCCTCCAAATGGATGTAGACGCTGCCAAGCAGTGGTCGTTGGACTGGCACCTCCCCCTGAATGACGAAAAGTGCGTCCATATATCATTTAGAGGGGACTCAGCGAATGCCTTTGTCATGCATGGTGAAAACGAACCAGAAAAAATCACGAGGATAGATGTTAAAAAGGATTTGGGCATTTGGGTCTCCTCAAACTTGTCCTTCTCACTGCACCATGAGAAATCGGCCCAAAAGGCATTCGCCATTTTACGGATGATCCGACGCACCTTCTCCCGTATTACTCGCATGGACTTCCAAATACTCTATGGGGCCTACGTCGGACCGCTCCCGGAGTACGCCAACCAAGTTGTCTACTCAGGACGTACAAAAGACGTCACCCTCATTAGGAGTGTCCAGCGGGCCGCTACGAGAATGGTTGCCGGCCTCAAATCCGTGGACTACGAAACGCGTCTCGCGATACTTGATCTCTCCCCCGGAGTATCGTCGCCTCCGAGGGGACCTAACGCTTACTTATGCTCCGTTTGAACAAAGCTTGGCAAACAGTTTTTTCACCGTTGACCCAGCAAACACACGGCTGGGACATAGTAAGAAAGTTTTCAAGCTCAGAGCGCACATATTCATTAGACAATTTTTCTCATTTAGGGTAGTAGCTGCGTTTCATGACCTTCCTCCGATGGTTGTCCACGCTCCTTCTAGAACCCAGTTTAAAGCGCTATTAGACATTTATTTATGCGAATCCTCGCGCTAGAATGTATACTGCCCGCGCTGGGAGCAGTGCTACACCCTTTTTTCAATTGAGCCTTTCAGGTGAAGGATAGCCAATGACCGACAAGAACAAAACCGACTCGGGAAACTTGGGCAAAAGCCTCGATCCCGTGTATCAATCCGTGAATCCGTGTTCGCTGAGGTGTGCGGGGGACTTTATGCAAGCTGTTTCAAAGCTGTAGGCATTGCTCATTTCATCTTTCATTATTACCTCTGTGGTCTGAGTCTGTGGTCGAGTTCTGAGCGCTTCCCAGCCAGCTGAACTAGGAGCTACACAGACACTTCAAAGGTGAGAAACTGAACGGCTCTGCATCAATCACCGTGTTCTAGAATGTAGTGACGATACTGTCCTCAGCTTGGTCTCGAAGCTAGTGTTCACGTCAAAACAACCGCCGAAGTTGCACTTGTTAACGCACTAAACTGTTAAAAACACTTGCACGGCACGTAATATATACAGGGTAAACGGTGACAAGCCTCTGGAAATTCCGATGCCTTCTGGATGCGGCGCCGTTAGCCGACGTTCGGCTAATACTGGGTTATGATTGGTTGTTGAGTCTAGACTTTCGACCAATCAGATTTGAACCTGAGGCTGGACCAACAAACGTCCAAGAAGTTTGGCCAGTTTTGTGGGGGGGTTACTGATTTTCTGACCTGTTTCTTGGGGGGGGGGAGTAGACTTCTCTGATGTAGTTGCGCCTAACTGCGAGCGGTAAGTGGGATCCGTATGGGATTACGCCCAACAGAGGGGAGGTGGTGTAATATGTCTGCGTGTATAAAAGTATCCAAAGTCACTGTGTGGATGTTCTGAGAATAGCAGCTGGGTGGGCTGAAAAGGAGAATGCGACGTATTAGTTGGACGTATCAGCAAGTTGGTAACTCTCGCCAACTGTCCACATAGAAGCACAAGAGCGCAGGTTCAACAGTTTATTCTCCGAGCCTCCGAACACGTGGGGATTGAGGAGAGAGAGTCAACAACGGGGAACAGGGGTACAAGCATATAAACATACAAACTGTGTTGGTTACTGAGGTGGGCGATCAATCTCCTCTGTCCGGTATTCAGGGATGTCTTCATTTTCTACCATCATTACAGCCGCCGCTTCTGAAAGTAGACAAAAGAGATTGTGATTAACGATGGTGCGCAATTTGACATCCGTCGGCACATTACAGTGGGTGGTCCCATGTACCTGCACAGTTCTGTGCTCGGAGTTCAGTGGTGTAATCTAGAAGGGCACCAAACTTGCATCTCCATCTGTAGCTGATTGTCGCATGGTCAAACTTATTCCACGGCGGGTTTGCGGTTGTTGGTCTCCAAACCACACGGCATACATGTTTGTGTTTGAAAATTTATGCCGGCTGGAGACAAATGATGCTCAGCGTTGAGTACTTGTGAAGTGCTGTCGGTGATGATAATGATTAAAGTGGCGATGCTGCCTTCCTCCAAAGAAGGATGAAGTAGAAATGTCTGCCCTAAAAGCCTCACACCGACCATTCAATAGTAGGCAGTGGCCGCCGGTGCGTTATTGGATACAGTCGAAGTACTTTCAGAAGTAGAGTCCGGTGCTGCACAGAAGGCACCCGTTGTGCGTACCTGCATTAGAAAGGAGGCAGTAATGTATCTCCAAGCGCTCTCAGGTTAAGCCAAGCCCGTGCAACAGAGGAGGTCAGACTATTGAGTCTTCGGGTCCGGGAAGGGACTCGAAAGAATGCTCTACTACCCGCTGTCTTGTGGGTTAGACTTTCGAGTCGGAGGCTCAAGGTAGCGTGCCTCAACTAAACCTCGTTTTTCGGTCCGGGCAACCAGGACTTATCATTTCTCCGCACAGTCCTTTGTTCACCGATGTTCCTTCCAACCCCCTCTCACCACCCGACCAGACCATGCTGGGTTATTTGATGGAGTTACCTGACCAATGTACTTTATGCACCCCGCCGTCTATTCACACTAAACAAAATAACACCCTTCTGGATCTACGAGATCCTTCCCCATACATAGGAGCTTTATACGTCTTACCTCTATGTCAAATCTACAAACAGGCAATGCTCAATGAAACCATATACTCCCTCAAAATTCATTTATGCTGTGTATCTGAAACACATACAAAACCCAAGCGTGGTTATGCATTTTAAAACGCCAACGACCATCCCAGCTTCACGTCTCCCGTGTGTTCGGTGATCCAGAAGCGACGATTCGTGGAATATATGGCGGGGATTTACTCTCAGCCCCAGAGCTGAACGCACTTTGTTGGATTGGGTCCCAGTGAACAATCGTCTTTACGCCGTCCGGTTATCCAGCTCAACCAAGGTCAATGCCTCAGCGTAAAAAGCGGTGTCTGTTTGTAGTGTCGGCGTACGCTGTAACCGGGACTGCAATTCTGATGCTGCGGAGGGAACTTTCAATCTCGGCCCATTCGGGTTTATTCGTCAATAAAGAAGCGTCGACATTGCGATCCTTGCGGGCGATGTAAATGTTCAGTTGTGCGCTGATCATAAACTGCTTCTGGCCAATACGAACATGACGCAACATGGCAGCCACCAACCGCAAATCAACTGTGGACCCATTGGATCATGTGGCCATCAGCCACCGGTGGAGAACCAGAATTCAAGATTACGGTATCTTCTGGGGCACACAGCTTGATTACGATTACGTCATAATGCGTGCACGCTTGACAGTTCGCTTTCCTTCAGGCCCTAGCGAGTCAGCCAAAAACATGCCAATCCAGCATCTTCGAAGAACCACATGTTACGAATAAAGTATCGATCCTGATTGAGCGCGAGAACAAGAGTGAATAACGTAGAATGAGTGGCGCTTTACTTGTGTAGGAATAGACATAAGCTGACAGTGAAGCGTGGTTAATACGAAACCACGATGTGATCACAAAGAATAGACGTGACATACACCCGGGTCGTTGGATTGTGTGCAGAGAGGGGCAACTCGGAAACAGGTACTGAATGAATGATTGCAAAAATCTACTAAGGTGTAGTGTTAAGTGTGGCCAGGCTTCCCGGCTTTTCAAAATGTAGGGTCGCCTACGCTGATGGAGCCCGGCTAAATCAGAAATACCGGGGCCATGTGTATTTGGGAATGCGGGTATATCACCCGGGCATGAGGTCGGTATTACCTACAGTGCTATTGAGCGTGAGCGCGTGCAAGTCAGAGAGAGAGAGGGTTTATGAACGACATTACCTTCACTGCATAAGATACGCGTGAACTAGTGGACATGTGTGCGATCACCACAAGAAACGAGATGGCGGACGGATACAGTGCCTTCTTTTCCGCCGGGAAAACGAACAGGGGCGTAATGTGGATTGCAATTTTTAAGTTCGACTTACTGAACGAATTGTTCATACTTTGAGGTACGGTCAAATCTTTTCAGTAAAACAGGTCCTGGAGTAATTAACCAAGCTGGTATAGACAAACCACAGGATGAACGACGTTCAAACCGAAACATTCGTTCATGTAAAGTGGCATTCTTGCAGATGCAAATAAGATGCCGTAGAGTAGCGTGGAGGGCATCTGACAGAGCCGGTTCCAAGTGACACATTTGGAGGCCTTTATCATGAATCTGAGCCGGACTGTCTTCCAGAGTGTCCCGTTAAGGTGTTCGACTTGTCCGTTGGCCTGGGGATTACAAGCAATTTTTCGGCTGGTGCAAACTCCTCTGTCATGTAGAGACGTGGAGCCGTGATCCAAAGGTACATATGCGGGTATATCAAACAAAATGAATAACTTATTACAAACAGGCAATGCTCAATGAAACCATATACTCCCTCAAAATTCATTTATGCTGTGTATCTGAAACACATACAAAACCCAAGCGTGGTTATGCATTTTAAAACGCCAACGACCATCCCAGCTTCACGTCTCCCGTGTGTTCGGTGATCCAGAAGCGACGATTCGTGGAATATATGGCGGGGATTTACTCTCAGCCCCAGAGCTGAACGCACTTTGTTGGATTGGGTCCCAGTGAACAATCGTCTTTACGCCGTCCGGTTATCCAGCTCAACCAAGGTCAATGCCTCAGCGTAAAAAGCGGTGTCTGTTTGTAGTGTCGGCGTACGCTGTAACCGGGACTGCAATTCTGATGCTGCGGAGGGAACTTTCAATCTCGGCCCATTCGGGTTTATTCGTCAATAAAGAAGCGTCGACATTGCGATCCTTGCGGGCGATGTAAATGTTCAGTTGTGCGCTGATCATAAACTGCTTCTGGCCAATACGAACATGACGCAACATGGCAGCCACCAACCGCAAATCAACTGTGGACCCATTGGATCATGTGGCCATCAGCCACCGGTGGAGAACCAGAATTCAAGATTACGGTATCTTCTGGGGCACACAGCTTGATTACGATTACGTCATAATGCGTGCACGCTTGACAGTTCGCTTTCCTTCAGGCCCTAGCGAGTCAGCCAAAAACATGCCAATCCAGCATCTTCGAAGAACCACATGTTACGAATAAAGTATCGATCCTGATTGAGCGCGAGAACAAGAGTGAATAACGTAGAATGAGTGGCGCTTTACTTGTGTAGGAATAGACATAAGCTGACAGTGAAGCGTGGTTAATACGAAACCACGATGTGATCACAAAGAATAGACGTGACATACACCCGGGTCGTTGGATTGTGTGCAGAGAGGGGCAACTCGGAAACAGGTACTGAATGAATGATTGCAAAAATCTACTAAGGTGT